TCCTGTCGAGTGAGACTAGAGGGGGAAGAAAGGACTATCCAAGTAGGCCACCGGAAAAGTGTTTTTTGCGGATTGTAGGGGAAAGAGTACAAACTGGAGGCAATAACTGAGAATTATATAGAAGGAACAATTAAAGAAGTTACCAGTGGCTCCCGCCAAATCGTAAAATTTTAAACTTCCCGCTCAATTCTGGCTCAAGACTGGTTGTGACACCGTGAACGATATATGGTCGTCACTTTGGTGGATCGTGAACAGCCGATAAGCCTCGGCATCGAGGCTTATCTGCCTGACTGTGGAGACATCGGTAATGGCTCCGCCCGCCGAGAAAACGAAGGCGATAGTTTCGCCGAGATCAAATATTAGTTGCATTGCCGCTTCCATGTTCGGTTCCATTGTGGCCTAAGAGATTGAGGTTGTCGTCAGAGTGGTAGAATCCTCTGTTCTTGCTATACTTCTTTTCTCCCCTTTTCTAGGCTCGATATTTTGGGCCAACGAGAAAATTCCAACGCATGTTCAAACGAAAACGAAAATAGGTTAAGGCTGTCATAGAAAACAATACTTGACTTGACCAATTTCTTGTTGTCATTTGAATGTTGTCACTTTATGTCTTGTTTACCCCGCAAATACGGCTACAGAATGACAAAACACACTGTCACCTTATGGTTTGTCACATTAGGTGCAAAAAATTCTATGATATGACAATAGATTTTGTCATAATATGTCATGCAACATGAAATAAACGTTTTATGTGAAATTGCTTTAGAATTGCTATTTTTTCTACAAGTCCATTTGGCGGGACTATTATTCCCCTTCCCCCCAAAACGAAAAAACCCCCCAATCCTCTCTAACCCTTCAGCGCCAAGAACAGAAAACCCCAATTCCTTCTCCTCTGAGAATTGAAAAGTCCAAATCGATCTCCCCTTATCCTCTTTAGCGATTCACCTAGCTACGTTCTCCTCCCCGAGAATCCATTGTCCGGTAAGTCTCGCTCTTCTCCTCGCCCTAAACTCCTTGTCCTCTGTGATTTTTATTTTGATTTGCAGGGCAGAGCTGGTTTCCTCATGTTTCTTCTTCTACCTCCGTCGTTCATAGGTGCTCTTGCACAAGTGTAGGGATTTCAATCTGAATCAACGCTCTCCGATTAGAAGATCGCTATTTCCACCGACGTCCTGCCTTCGCTATCGCGAGTGCCCTCCGTCTACAACCATTCGATTAAGTTTGGCTGTCGATTTTGTGTACTCAGTGTACGGATTGGCTTACATAGATATATGTTAGGCCTGGTTTTTAGCTGGTGCGCAAGATGAGTCAATTTGATGGAATGGATTTTGATGAAAGCGATATATGTGAAAAGTGCTCTTTGATGGGGATGGTGGTTGTTTGCAACTTGTGAATGTTTTTTAGGATACCCCAATTTATTTGTTGTGTCATGAAAACAGATTGGTCTTCTTCATTTATTGTTGCAATTGGATAATGTGCCCTTGTTCTTGTTGATTCTGAAACATGTATGATGTTAATCACCATGATTTTTGGGTTGAACTAAGATGACTATCTCTTTACTTGTGGTGGTAAATATAAGTTGTTGTAAGCTGCAGCAGCATGTTGCGTGTACTGTTTATCTCCTTCCTAAGTTCAAACAAGCATATATTGTTTACTAGATTTGAGCCCCTTTGAACTAATTTCAAGGTTAAATACTACTTGCAGGTTAGTGTCTGACTCGCTATGACACAACTCCTAACAATGGCCAAGTGTAACCAATGAAAGGGACTGCAATATAGTGGCTCAAGTAATAAATATCGAATCCACGGGTCTCTAGAATTACTATTACTCATCTTCAGTTCATTATCTAGCAAACAACATTTAGATGGAAGAACTAAAACTACTATAACAAACTACAGTTAAAGTTAATCTAATTACAGGTTGGGAGCTCACTTAGGTATGATTGCCCCTAGGCACTAGCCAGATTAATGATTGATAATCTCTAACCTGTTTCACTTACATTCACAATGCGGAGAATCCTTGACTAGACCTTGAATCTAGACTCAATCGATACAAAGCATTGAATCAACCCTCGACTAAAGCAATCGATCCAATACTATCAATCTATGGTGCTCTATTGAACTAATCAGGTATTCGCTCTCATAGGATCAAAGCAGAATCAATAATCTCGACTAAAGCAGAATTGAATCATGAAAACGTGCATAGATTGAATATGAACTCAAGATTATCAAGTAGGAGTACTCATACAATCATCTAATCAAACAAACATGACTTGGGTTCCTCAAAACCTAAGTGAAGGGATTTACTCCATAGAGAAGAAAGAGACTGCAGTAAGAATATTCAGATGATCAGTCTTCAAGTCTGGGCTTGTTCCTCGAGCTTTCAAGGAGTAGAAATCCTCCGATTCCACTCCAAGATTGCCCTCAAATTGCCATCTCTCTCTTTGGTTCATCCTGTAACACCCTGATAATTTAGATTTAGGTTCGACCTTTATACGTGATCAGTTGGATTGACGGTTAAGTACTAAGAGTTACAACCGCGGATTAGGAATAATAATAATAACTATTATTATTATTATTATTACTATAATTAAAATAAATTATATATATCCTAACCTAGAGGGCCGAGCGGCCCTCTCTATAATCCCCCCCCCCCACCTTTTTTCCCTTCCACGCAAGGAGCAGCAGCAACAGCCGCGGAGAAAGGGGAAAAAAAAAGAGAAGCAGCACCGCCGCCCCTGCTTCCCATCGCGAGCGAGCCGCCGCCTCCCTGTGCCCCGACCACGACCTCTTGAGTCGATTGCCTAGAGGGACGTATCCTTCTCTAGAACAACCGATCAAGGCGTTCTGAACTAGACTCCCTCTATCGAATGAGGTTCTCAATCGATACAAAGCATTGAATCAACCCTCGACTAAAGCAATCGATCCAATACTATCAATCTATGGTGCTCTATTGAACTAATCAGGTATTCGCTCTCATAGGATCAAAGCAGAATCAATAATCTCGACTAAAGCAGAATTGAATCATGAAAACGTGCATAGATTGAATATGAACTCAAGATTATCAAGTAGGAGTACTCATACAATCATCTAATCAAACAAACATGACTTGGGTTCCTCAAAACCTAAGTGAAGGGATTTACTCCATAGAGAAGAAAGAGACTGCAGTAAGAATATTCAGATGATCAGTCTTCAAGTCTGGGCTTGTTCCTCGAGCTTTCAAGGAGTAGAAATCCTCCGATTCCACTCCAAGATTGCCCTCAAATTGCCATCTCTCTCTTTGGTTCATCCTGTAACACCCTGATAATTTAGATTTAGGTTCGACCTTTATACGTGATCAGTTGGATTGACGGTTAAGTACTAAGAGTTACAACCGCGGATTAGGAATAATAATAATAACTATTATTATTATTATTACTATAATTAAAATAAATTATATATATCCTAACCTAGAGGGCCGAGCGGCCCTCTCTATAATCCCCCCCCCCCACCTTTTTTCCCTTCCACGCAAGGAGCAGCAGCAACAGCCGCGGAGAAAGGGGAAAAAAAAAAGAGAAGCAGCACCGCCGCCCCTGCTTCCCATCGCGAGCGAGCCGCCGCCTCCCTGTGCCCCGACCACGACCTCTTGAGTCGATTGCCTAGAGGGACGTATCCTTCTCTAGAACAACCGATCAAGGCGTTCTGAACTAGACTCCCTCTATCGAATGAGGTTGTTAATTAATTATTTAATTGTCACTGGTGGATTATAACCTCTTGCAAATCTGGACACTACTCCTTATTGGAAGGGGATCTTGGGAGAGGAGCATCTCCTTTACTATGTTAAAATTGGGAGGGAAAGTAAAATTTAGAAAAAATAAATTTTGTTACGATAGTGAAATAATTAGAGGAAAGTAGTGTTTAATTTAAAGTAAATAAGTTAGGAAAAATATATACAGTAAGACTAAATGTTGTTTTCACCCCAAATCATGAGCGCAATTGTAATACCGACTTTTCCCACCAAATAATCACTTTCTAGTATTGTAACATAATTTATAAAAAAAAAACTTCAAAATCTCTTCAAATTCCTCCATTTTTTTCCATCCCTCTATTTTCCCTGCTTCATGTACAAATAGCTCAAGATAAACTTAATTTTAGCAATCAATAGTTTCAACAAGAATGTTATTTAATTGAATCCCATGTAAAAGCAAATTGGGTTGCTAAATCTCATACTCGAAAGTCGAAACGGTCTTCATGTTCATCATAAACAATTTTTGGTATGATGTACTGTTTTGCCGCCCCTTTGATGGCGCTTGCAAATGATGAATTCAGGTGATTTCATTCTTTGTTAATCTTTTATAGTGCTCGAACATGAGTATAGGAGAGAAATATAGTTGTTTTTGATTTCATTCTCGAGAATTGTTGTAATCTCAACGATTTTACAACTCGGTTTGAGATCCATACTAACGCCGAATTCGTTACAGTCCACTTAATTTACACTACTCTTTTATCCTTCATCCAAAAAGATTGCAGTCAATTCGTCGTATTTATGAGCAAAACCAACCGAGTTACAACCTCTAACTTACCATTTGATTCGTTACCCTCCATAATAACTCAACTCGCGATGCATAAACCACAAATCATTCCACATAATTCCACAATTTCGATGCAATCCAACCCGTTTGTCACCTCCATAATTTCACACAAAAGGTCTACCTAATTAAGATAGTGGGGTAGGAAGTGGGTGAGTGGAGCTGGATAGATGGATGGATAAAAAGTTAGTACTAAAGAGAATCCGTCTACTAGGAAGTGACGTCGAACGACGCAACCCACGGTCCGTGTGACGTAAAACAATGCGTAATTGGCGTTGACGTTATGATCATCATCATCAACCTCCTCCTTCTCCCTCCCTCCAGCCAATCCCCTCTTTTTTTCTATATAATCCTCCGCCTCTTCCACTTAATTCCCTCCCCCCGCCTTCCAAAAATATTCTCACTTCTTTATATGATCATCATCATCAATCCCCTTATGCAAGAAACAATCCCCTTCACCACGCACATCCCGCCGGCCGCACCCGCCGGCGACGGCGGCGCCACCGTCGACGTGAAGAAGCTGGTGGTCGAGAACTCGATCATCGTGGTCGGGAAGCGAGGGTGCTGCATGTGCCACGTGGTGAAGCGCCTGCTGCTGGGCCTGGGGGTCAACCCGACCGTGTTCGAGGTCGACGAGCCCGAGGAAGGCCACGTGGCGGAACAGCTGTCGTCGCTGGTCGATGACGGCGGCGAGGTGCAGTTCCCGGCCGTGTTCGTCGGCGGGAAGCTGTTCGGCGGGCTGGAAAGAGTGATGGCTACTCATATCTCCGGTGAGTTAGTCCCGATCTTGAAGGACGCCGGGGCTTTGTGGCTATAACCGGCCCCTGCCGTCACCGCCGGCTGCCGGCCACTTCCGGGTTAATATTGTAATCAATTAATTAGCGAATTAGTCTCCCTGATTCCTAATTAGTTTTTAATTAATTAATCAGTGGCTGTTGGATTTTGACTCTCTTTTTTTTTTCTTGTGGGGAGTGAGGATTCAGCAGATTCTTAGCTTTCTCATATGGTTGATTATAAGTTAAACTCGGTGATATAGTATTTAGTTTTGGTATAATATTATGAATATTTATGAGAATCGTTGTATAATTAATGATTCGAATTATTAATCAGCTCTCAAATTGTGTTCTATTTTTAATTTTTACTTGTTGGATCCAATAACATAGAACGTAAGAAGAAGGTGATTTAGTGATGCTAAATATGTTTAAACGTACAATATTAGACTTTCGAGCTCCAGTTATGTTCATATATGGTCATCAGGCAGTAAAATTTTTATTATGTGATGTCATCCATTGAACTAACGGCAGATTCTTTCGTCATTCCCAATATTAAATTTGAAAAACTTATGAGAAATTTGATAATGGCTGTTTAAATTAAAATCATTAAAATGGAAAGGGAAGAAAATTGTTATAGCTAGCGTATGGACATAATATATTTATCTTCATGGATAATCACCGACCATATCTGACGAGACAACAAATTGTGTAAGTAGTTACAGAAGTGAACACGAATCAGTGGGCTCCACGCGTCTCATGGGTGGAAGTCAGCCCTTGTCTTGACGCCAGAAAAAAACACATTAGTAATCCCCCTACTTTGGGAATGCCGTGTTTGGGTTTGGTCTTGCTCATGGTAAATAAATATGTGGGAGTGGGATATAAAAATGGAAGAAAATTGGACTTTGTGGGCGTCGTGGCATGGAGAGTTCAAACAAAACGGTGGTTACGGCCCATTTTCTCATATCAGGGCTGTCGAAAGAGGCAACTACTACTCGTGTCTGGGCTGGGGCAGAGCTACACCAGGCCTCGGCCCGCAGAATTATGAAACGTAAAAAAAAAAAAAAAAAAAATTCGGTGTCTTAAGTATAAAGTAGAATTAAAATACCGTACCGGTGGTTCGATCTGAAAAACCGTCTTTCAGAAGTAAATCGGTAGGCGGTATTTAGCGGTATAATACGGTTGAACCATGTTTAAACTAAAATTTTAATATAAAATATCTTATTGTTGACTTTTTCGGCTCCAATACGGTATTTCAATCCTTGAGTCTATAAACTAAAATACGATTCGTTTGGATGTGGAAATTTTAAAACGTTGAAATTTATTTGAATTTCCATGTTTTACAAAATCAAGGAATTGACTTGTGGAAATTGAAAAAAAAAATCCACGTTTGGATAGGGTTTAGTTTTGTGGGAATTGATGGTGTGGAATTTGGAAAAAGAAGTAAGAAAACGTGGTAATGTCAAATTACTAGGGGGAGGTGTAGTATTCTCAATTACCATGAATGTGGAAATTGAAGCCAATTTCCATGGTCCAATTTCTATACTATTTTTGCTCTCCCAAACATTGGTTTTTAACCCAATTACTGCATTAGGTGGTAATTGGATTCAATTACTGCATTACATTTCCACATCCAAACGAATTTGAGAAAGTAATTTGAGTGCATCAGATTGACATTGAACTCAAATTGGTCTAGTGGGAAATAACTTGTGTTTTTTATCTGATGGATCTGGACTAGACAACCTCTAGAAGCAAATGTGTATTTTGTAGTTCCATTAAAATTTTTTATTTTCTTTTTATAGTTTGATTTGTGAAATTCACTAAGTCCAATTTATATTAATTAAGTCCAAATTTTGATTTTTAGACTCACTAATTCCTATTTAGATAAATTATGTCCACTGATATTTTTTTCTGCTAAGTATGTCCACTGATTTCATCGATGCTTTTGAATATAGATGAATATTTGTAGGTTATTACACTTTAGTTCTCATTTGACTAAAAAATTTAATTTAGTAATTTACTGTTATATGTCGATTTGTTAAGTCCGTAAATGTTAGACGAGAGTATATTGTTTCTTTCTTTTGTACATATTGTTTTGGGCCTTTTGTGTAGTTTGGTGATGTGTTTTGATTGGGCCTCTAGCTTCTAACCCATGTAGGGAAAGTGGTTGGCCGACTTTGACACTTCCTCTCCTATGGTTTAGTTAGATAGTAAGGATTTGGTGGATATATCTTTCGGCTGTAACAATGGTGGTTGTGCACAAAATTGAGATAGTGAATTTGAGCTCGAAGAGTCCTAACTCTTATATGGATTAGTCCTGGAGTTCCACAGATACCACGTAAATACTGTGCCTATCTGTTTTTCATTTATCGTCTATAATTCCTTTATATGGTATCAGAGCCTCTGACAATGAAATCTAAAAAAACCTACCGTCCGTCTCAGCTCCACCAACTACTCCTTGTGGTAGTTCGAGTTTTGAGTTTTTGTAGAAGGCCATGATCTCCATGGAGTGCTCAATGACACTACTCCGAACCCACCAGACGCAGTTGCGCCTCACGTTATCACTATTTGGAATCAGAACAATGTTAAGGTCCGATCTTGCCTGCGAGGATATGTGGAACCATCGACTTGCTTAAGTGTCCGTTTATTTTCTATGACAAATCGAATTTGGAGGTGATCGTGAACGTCCAGCTCGTCACGCCTATGTCACCAGGGTCATCGATGCCGACAACGCTACCAGCAGCATCGTGCTCTCAACTGTTTTGGTAGAGCAAATGGTTAATGCAGCACTACAGAAATCACTTCCCACCATGACAATTGCTGCCTTAACATCCCTTCAAGGGCCAGGTAAAAATATTCCTTGGTTTTTAGACTCTGCATGCTTCAATCGTATGACCTCCAATGCCAACTGTCTTAAGAATTTAGTCTCCGTTAACAATATGGTGCTTCAAGGGGAAAATGACGAGAAGTTGGTCGTGAATGAGGTTGGTTATGTCGCTGAACCAAAGATGTCTTTGTCTCAAACTACGCATGTTCCTGCCCTAGTCCCTAACTTGGTCTTAGTCGTTAAGCTAACTGATAAATGATGTTTTGTGTTGTTTGCACCTTCTTGATGTTTCATACAGGATTTGAAGACGGGAAGATAGATCGGAAGGGGGAGTAAAAGAGGGAGAGTTTTTCACCTGGAGGAGCTTCATTATAAACCAGTCTCGTATGTCGTCAGTAGTCATTTCAGCAGGACTGGCAATAGTTTGGGTAGGTCATTGTTATCCGGTATTTCTTCTCCTTTCAGTTTTTTTTAGTAAGCCTGACAATCTCTGAAAACTGCTAGTATTTCTTTCCCTTTGAGTACTACTGTCATTAGTCAACCTTTCCATATCATTCATACTGATTTATGGGGGCCTTGCCCAGTGACTTTTAGACGTGGGTGCTACTTTAATTCGTTCATTAATCATCCACATTTTACCTGGATATTTTCTTCAATTGAAGTTCGAGCTTCGTGATGTTGCTATTGAGTTCTTAAAAATGATTCAAAATAAGTTCAATCGACCAGTCCAAATTATTCGGTCCGATCTTGACAGTGAATTCAACTCTATAATTTTACACTATGTCTATTGTTCTTTAAGGATTTTGATTCAAATATCATGTCTTGAGGTTTCTTAACGAAATGGTCTCGTGGATATTAAAACCGTCATTTAGTCGAGCTCATATAGGCTCTTCTTCATGATTCTCGTGTCCCTGGTACCTTTTGACCCGAAGCGGTGGTGACTGCATTGCGCTTGATAAACTACCAAATTACTCATGTGTTATGTCATTCCACTCCCTACTTTTCTCGCTATCCATGTCCTCCTGATTATTCTCATCTTCATGTCTTTGGATGTCTATTGTTTGTTCTTCTTCCTATGCGTGAACTTAACAAGATACCCTCTAAGACCGCTAGATTTTTTTTCTTAAGGTACAGTGATGTGCATATGTTTATTTGTGTTTTGATCCTGCTTTACAACATATGTGATTTGCAACCATTTTTTTTTCTTTGAGCATGCCATGCATCATTCTTCTGAGTCGTCTACTGCATGTTATCCTTTTTCTGATAAATCCCCACTCGTGTTTGATGCTATTGATGCTGACTATCCTCCTCTCCCTCCTAAAGACCCTCCCGATTCCCCTCTCCATCTTGGCCTGCCTCAAGCTGATCCTCCTTATCCTCTCTCGGCCAGCTCCACCTCATACGATAGTTCATCCAGCTCATCGCCTTACGTTGATGGCAGCTCACTTTCGCCACCTTCATCTGACCCACCGAATCTTTGTCATTCCCTATGCACAACACAAGGTATCCCTCCTCCCCGTTAAATTATGTAGCACGCGGAGTTGTGTCCTTGATAATTCCAACTCGGTACAAGCGGTTAGGGAACAAGCTATGAATCGGAATTTAGCCGCCCTTCATGCCCCAAAACACATGGATGCTTGTTTCTCGGCCTCCTTCTTAGACTTCTGTCATGGGGTGCTGGTGGGTTTATATAATAAAAATGAACCCCAATGGTACATTAGATCTCCCCACTCGATTGATAACACAAGATTTTACGCATGATTTTGGAGTTGACTACAGTGAGAACTTTGCTTCAGTCTCCAAGATGTCTATAGTCCAAACTCTACTAGCTGTCGCAGCTAAGCAGGATTGACCACTCTATTAAATGGATGTCAACAATGACTTCCTCCATGGAGATTTGGAAGAATTCATCTATATGGAGAGCCCTCCCGGTACACTTTGGGTACTCATGAACAGGTTTGCAGGTTGCAGAGGTCATTGTATGCTCTTAAACAGGCACCTCGTGCTTGGTTCAAGAAGTTCAGCCTACTATCACTACTTTGGGTTTTGGGTAGAGTCTGAATGACTAGTCATTGTTCACTCGGTCTACTTCTGTTGGGATTCTTGCTTTGTCATTTGTATGGAGCGCCCTCTCTTATACACTTAGGATGTAACACTCAACGTTTGGATTTGAGTTCAACCATAGTAAATGAATGAGATTCTATCGAAAGACGAAATAGC